TGATGGTGAAATGAAAATAATATGTCTTAGCGGAAAAATGATGTTTGCCATTGGTGCAAACTGTAGAATGGAAAATGTCTGCTGCATACTTTTTATTTTAAAATGGATGTTTCTTAAGGTCCCTCTGGTGCAAATCTTCTATTGCTCTCTCTTCCGTGGCTTGCTTCCCCTCACTCTTAATCTCATAGTTGGAATAAACAACATAAAATCTCCTGAGAGTCCTAACTTGCTCCTCTAGTGTAAAGTGCTATAGTTTGGATCTGAAATAACCCCCATGTATTAAAAGCTTGGTCTTGGGGCTGGGGATGTGGCTTAAGCGGTAGCGTGCTTGCCCAGCATGCGTGCGGCCCGGGTTCGATTCTCAACACCACATACAAACAAAGATGTTGTGTCCACTGAAAACTGAAAAATAAATATTAGAATTCTCTCTTTCTCTTTGAAAAAAAAAAAGCTTGGTCTGTATCATTAAGAGGTAGTGGAAACTTTAAAAGGTTGACCCTAATTGATGGAAGTTAGATCACTGGGGGAATGCCCTTGAAGGGGATATTGGGACCCCTGCCCCTTCCTCTCCCTCTTGCTTTCTGGTTGCCACAAGGTGAGCAATTTCCTGTATCATATATTTTTATCATGATGTGGTCCTCATCCCAGGCCCACAAGCAACCACAAATTTAAACCTTTTAAACTATGAGCCAAAATTGACCTTTCTTCTTGTTAAGTTGACTATCTCAGGGATTTTGTCACAGTGATAAAAAGCTGACTAATACATAAAGCAAGTATTCAGGCTCAGTTTCTGTATCAGGCTTCAAAACCACAACCACTTCTCTCCATCTACTATCATTTTAATTTTGTATGGCTTTGGAATATGTGCTGAAAAGAATTACCAAGGTGCTGACTGCATGTAAGTAACTAGACTAAACTATGATAGACAAGATGAGGTAACCGCTAGAAACCTGGATTTGTACATGACCCTAGGGTCCTTTAGTCTGGCAGGAGATAGATGGATGAGGCACCAGCATGGCAGTCGTACTTGCATGTATAATCACAACAGCCAGAGAACAATGCAATGAGAAGGGTTCTGTAACTGTGCTATGTTCTATGTTAAAAAAAACACCTATGAAGACTATGGAGATTAACAAAGCTATCAAATTTCCTCTTCAGTTCTTTGATACTACTCAATCATGCAATCATGTCCTAGCTACCATTTAGTGACGTCTCACTAAGAATCTTCTGTATGTCAACACACTTAGCAGAGAATATTTCATTTAATCCCTTCAATGACTGTGCCTATGAGATGTTACCTGTACTTGACAGGAAACTGAGGTTGAGGGAGGTTAAGTGATTTATAGGTACAGTGTTATAACAAGGGGTACTGACTTGACACCCATGTTCTCACCTCAGTGCATGAAACGGGATGATACTGGGGGAGACAAGAGGTCTGATAGGAGGTAATTTGCATTTTTCATTCATCCATCCAACTATTTATTCATCTATGCATCTATCCATTCATTCATTGCTTCAACAGATATTTACCATGTAACTACCCCTGTACTCAGTGCTGGGACACAGTGCTGAGCAAAACAGACAAGGCTCCTGACCTCACAAAATCCACAATCTAATAAAAGGGCAGACATCAATCAATGACATGACTGTCATCTCAGACTAAGATAATTCTCCACGGGAAAGGAATACATTTAAATGAAAGCCTATAACAAAGGACCCTGACCAAGGCTGGAGGTCAGATTTAAGGAAATGAGGTCCAAGATCAGAGCTGAAGGTCAAGTCCACATTAAGTAGGTGGAAGGCAGGAGCAGGAATGGAAGTGAGCACTACAGAGGAGAGAAGAGGACATACAGGGATTAAGGGAAGGAAGGAGCACGAAGTGTTTAAGATCATGGGGCCATTCAGTGAGGACAGGGGTGACAGGAGAAAGCCTGGGGAGACCTGGAGGAATTGGCCTTGCAAGGATGCCTGGGGCAGCAATAGGAGAAGTGAAGGATCTGGAGAGGCAAACGGAGAAGGTATGGAGAGGAAAGGGACGACTGCGCTTTTCCATGATCAGACTTCAGGAGGCACAATAGTATAGGGATCCGGTAAGACCAGAATGGAAACACAGCAATCAGCAAATAAACAGGCCACTGAGTGGATTAAAGAGAAGTTTGTAACTCTGATTAGGTGGTGGCAATAGTAATGAGGAAAAATGGATGGATTAAAAAAAAAAACTATACAAAGTAAAATCCAAAGAATCACTGATGAATTGAACTTGAAAAGAGGGATGCAGAAGGAGTCAAGGATAGCCCCTGGATTGCTGGCTTGACTCATTAGTGGTGCTGTTCATTGACCGGGAACTCTAAAATGTGGCCTCTCCCTCATTGAGATATCTTTTGGGCATCCTAGTAAAGTGGCCTAAAAAGCACTTAGTTATATACTTAGGAGCTGAGAGAAGAGGTCTGAGATGAAGACACTGACTTGAGAGTCCACTGAAGAGATGGCAATGGTTGCTGAGGCTTTGGGAAACAGAGAGGAGGTTATGGGAAACTGTTCATGGAGAACCAGGCAGATCATGCTCCGTGGTCACTATATTCTTTCAATCTACTTCTTCCTTGTGGGGATCTGCACCTTTTCTTCTCTCTCCTTCTAATACCACTGTCTATTTTCATTTCCCTTTGTCCTAGTTTTTTAAAATTATTTTACATTTCTATTTTATACTATGTGTCTCTGCCGCCACCCCAGCTTTTGTAGAATAAGAATCAATCACTAGCTTTGAGAAGATTCAGATGAGATTCTAAATAGTCAAATTACTCTGACAGTTACCCAGAAATTAATAGATTAAATTCACTCGATAAAAGTGCATTCAAAGGAACTGTCTTTGAGATTCTAAGATGATTCTTGATGCATTCAATTCATGAAAGCCAAAATGTTTGAAAGTCATGGTGGTGTGTGGGGGGAAGGGGGTGTTAGGGACAAATCCAGGATTTGATGCCTAAAGGGTTCCCCAGTGTTCAGTCTTGAGGTAGACTAAATTCACCAGGCTTAACTGATGGATTCAAAGATGTTAGGACACACCAGCTGAGAGGGCCATTTTTCTCATCTTCATCTGTTTGAGTGATTTATAGCTAGAAGTGATAAGTAGCTATAGACAATGCAGTCTCCAATGACAAAAACTCCTAGGGACATTTGGTACATGCACCAAGTAATTCATTTAATAACTTAATTATTAGATATTAAGCATTGAAATTTAAACAATACCTGGTTCCAGAAGGAAGAAAAACAACTCATTTTCATAGCCCTCTGTTATAACTTTTACATTATCATATTTTTTGGTAACAGGTTGACTGTGGATTTTCTGAGGGACAGAGTAAGTTTCCTTTCTTCCTTCCCTCCCTCCTACTTCCCTCCCTCCTCCTTCCTTTTATCCAAACCTCCCTAAAACCCTCCCTCCCACAGTGTCTGACACATAACAAATGAACCAACCAAACAACTTATGTGTTCCTTATCAAAATGCAGCAGATCCATTCCATAAAATGAATGAATCCATTTGTGTTCCTTCTCAAAATGCAGCAGATCCATTCCATAAAATGAATGAATCCATTTGATTCCAAACAAAGCAACTAACATCACTGAACATTTCTATCAAGACTTTTTAAACCCAAGCATTTAATTCAGCAGTCCTGAGCCCATCCATAACAAAAGGGACCTTATCATTCATATCTTCTTGCTGATACATAATCATTAGGTTAAAAGTTTACAAGTAATATTAAAATAGAGAATAAAATGAGCTTTCCCATTTTGAGCAAAACAGCCATGAATTAGAGCAAGAGCTCTTGGAAAATACTTGATGTGTTCTGTTTTTATTTTGTTGTTCTCGTTAAGAGCTACTTGTTCCATGTTTAGTCAAAGCTAAGAGAAAGCATTTTCTGAGATCACCTTAATTTATTTCAGCTAAATCTAAGTGTCAATCAAAAGTTCTGAAAAGCAGAAGGTCCTGGAGAAAAAATATAACATTCATATGATTGTAGGGTGTGTTAGGAAAGAAAATTATTCTTGTCCTAACTGAAGAATGGCTGCTGAGTTCCTAAAGGATATAATTCAATCCCAAGGATCTGTTGACTACAAGATGGAGCTCTCTTCCTCTCCATCATTAAATGGGAACATCTTTTCTAGTCTTGGAAGGAAGCTGATGGAAAACAGTAACTGTTTTCTTAGTACAATTTAAGTTTTATTTAAATTTAAAATTTCAATTTAAAGCAATTGTTCCCATGTGTCAGTGAATTTAAGAACACAAACACGATATGTGGCCACATGGATCATATTAAAAGGAAATAATAACAGAACAACCAGATTGTATTTCTAATAAGCCAGGTAAATCAGAAAAGCAAACAGTATTGTTTGTGGCTAATAGTTTTCTGGGTTTAGATTGAGTCAAAAAACTCATGATGTTTGCAAGTTCAAAGTTCAAGTCTGAATTCTATGGGTTAAATAAGTTAGTTTCTCAAACTACCCACTTCCTTTTGTCACTTCAGGGCGAGAGAAAGACAAAAACAGAAAGAGATTACAAAATTAGAATTCAAATGCCATTCTTAGGATAGGAACAGTGAGACAAAACTAATCTTCTTTGAGCACATACATATTTCAAGTACCCAAGTATCAAAACAGCAACTTTCCTATTTATAATTTTGTTTTATTCCTACAAATTAAAGTAATTGAGGTTTGGGAAAATAATTTCCTACAGATTATTCAGAGAGTGAGTGATAAAATTCCAGTTTTAAAGACAGACCTGCTTGACTCTGAGATGAATTCTTTTTCAACTAACTTTTGCAAAAATTGGGGGAAATATCTTTAAAATATTTTGTGAAGAAATACATGAATAAAGTTTCCATGAGGACACAGGCAGCATGTTAAAAGAACACAATATAAAACGTTGGATGTAAACTGTTAAGCAGATGTATGTCACTATGAAGTCACATTTTTCATCATAATGGTTTGCTGTCTGTTGGCAATGACCCCAGTTAAGCTGTTTTTATACAACAGAAGCACAGCTGGTTAAAAGGGACTAAATTGGTCAAGCAAGTAAGATTTTTAATTCATTCAGTGCCAAGAATCTGTGTGTGTTCCTTTTTAAAATAAAGTGAACTATAAGAAAGCTGATCCATAATAATTTGGTTTTCTGCCTTTAATAATGTTAATCTTTTAGTCAACTTGTCTACGAGTAGCCTGTATATTATTCATGATAAAAATCTCAAAAACATTACATCAAAATTGCTTTTAGATCCTGGAAATTTCCTTTGCAAAGAGGTATGAAAAAGGAATGAATTCCTAAAGTTAGCTTGAAATTTGGGTGTGTTTTAGATATGAAATGACAGGCATGGGCACGTTTTTTTACCATCCATCAACTGTGGGCTGCATGGGGTAACCCTCATCATCCATTAATTCATATGTTTATAAAGCTCATGTCACTTGATAAAGTACATTTGCTTATGTCACCCCATGTGATGACATAGTTAACATTTCCAGAGTGTAGGGTAAAACTATAGGGAATTGTACTTTGCCTAGAAGGCTAGTTACTTAAGAATTTTTTGGGGGAAGTGGTTTTTGCCAACTAGCATAAAAGACTCTCTTATGACTCTGTGTAAATTATTTCTAACATGCCTCAACAGACCCTACAAAATAAATTATAATAGATAAATAGCAGTGCTCAAATAATGAACATTTTGGAAATAGCAAAGGAGGACATGCATCCTTACCCATTCCCAATTAAAATGTCATCAGTTTAGAGTTCTGAATTTAGGTATTTATAAAATTAATATTATGCAACTGAATATAAATCTTCATTCTAGAGTACAAAAGCTTATTAAAAACCACATCATATAATGATGTGTATGTGTTTTGGTGTTACTGGGGACTGAACCCAGAGCCTTGTGCATGATAGACAAGTGCTGTACCATTTAGCCTCACCACCAGCCCTATATCAAAACAAATCAATACAATGCCACCAATGAGAATACCATTATGAACTGCATCTTAAACTCAGTGTGAGATCGACTAGGCTATGCATTTGAAAGGAAGAAATCCAACATCAGTTCCATAAATCAAATTAATATCAAGATAAAATTGACTACTGAAAAACATCTTACTCAGGGGAAAATTGTGTTCTCGGAGATGTAAACAAAAAAGTATGTGACCCTCCACTGTATTAACCTCAAATTTTAGAAAATATCTAATTATGGGAGTTTTAAGGCAAGTAGATTATAGAGTTAGCAAAACAATGCTTGTGACAAAAATCAATAGCATGCATTTTTATTATAACATAGTTTCTGTGTCTGCAAGGCTTTAAATTGTCTAGGAGAACATAGCACAAAGTATAATGTATGGATGCAGGTATCTACAGAAAATATAGACTCCATTAAGAAGAAATATATGACAAATGTACATGCATATATATGTGAGAATATATTTATAATTATATACTAAATCTCACAAAGTTACATAAATATTTCCTCTCTTGCTTTATGCATTTACTTTAAGAAAATATTATTTAAGAGATGACAGTTTTTTTATTTGTTCAACTTGAATTATTTTTTCTCTTGCAGAATTGTGTCTTCTTACAGCCAGAGAATAAAATCTCTTGATAGTACAATATGCCCAAAGATTTTGCATTAACATATCCACAAACTTTCTCTCACCCTCAAAAAAAGTGAAGGGTAGACCTCATCACTTCTCATCTAGTACCTGGGTCTAGGTTTAGTAGGTAGAGCCAACACTCCCAAGAGATGCTTAAAAGGGACTTTTAAAAAGTGGATCAATTATGCCCTGCCTCCAGGCCATAAGATCCCATGACTATAACAAAATTTATATGAAAATTGAGATTTGACACTAAAAAAAAATACTAAATATTCTGTTATCGGCTTCTAATTTTCTCCTCTCTGCTCTATTAGGTGAGAAAGGGCAAATGAAACTGGTTGCAGAAAGAACCTATAATCAAGATGAGTTAGAAAATGAGATTTCCAGGGAGCATGGCATTTTCAGACTAAAAGAGTCAAAAGAACTTGCAGATAAGACTGCTAAACTGATCGGAGGGCCTTTGAGGAAATATCGCCATATACAAAGATGGCTAAAGAAGAGTAACACCAGAACTTACGGAGAAGACTGCTTTGGGGAGCCTACGAAGAATTATCCTGATAAGTAGAGGTGTCTGGACAGCCATGAATGTAGGACTCAATCTCTTCATGGGCAAAGAGCAGAAGATGGCACTCAAGAGGAAAAGCATCATTTTCTTGACTTCCCTCTGGTCTGGATTGTATCCCACTTCTACTTTGGCCAGGAATGGATAGGATATAACCTATGCAACACACCCACAGCTGTCCGGATGTAAATATTGGATAAGATTAAGTGTTCCTTTATCCAAAGAACTCATTGTAGCCTAAGAAGCTTGGTTAAAAATTGAGTAAAATTCTAAAACACATAGTTTCAGAACTTCCAGAAGAAACACAGCAAAAGGTGTTCACTTAGAATCAGCCTGGTTCCAAAATGCACTTTTTTTTTGGTTGCTACGTTTGCAGGATAAGCCCAGTAGATGGAAGGAATACTACAGAATACATTCTGTGGAGTTGGACGTAGCATGGCTGACTTTTTGGGTAGGATGGGGGATAAAAGAATAAATGAAAAGCTGTCAGAGGGAGGAGAAAGCAGAAGGAAAGGGAGGAAGACTAAGAAAGACGCACGGGAGAAGTGAGAATGAAAAAAGACCAGGCAGATACTTTAGAAAAATAATAAAATAATAATGGGGATGTCTGCGAAAAATATGGCCCCTCTCATGATATCCTTACAAGGCACCTCATTTCCAAGCAACAGAGCCGAACTCAAGCAATAGTAACATTCAGAGGATCAGTGACAGGTGAGCTTTTTGCCCCTTGATCAATTTGAAGGAACACTAAAGTAAAGGAAAAACACCATCTATCTTCCTAGGGAGGCATTTTAATTATAAATTCAGGGCTCTGGAAGACAAACTTGCTTACAGCTATAACCAATGCTGACCTCAATTGAGTATTTTCTTACAAAGCCACATGTCCACGATTGCTAATAAGATCACAGTTCCAATCGGATTTCACACTGTGAACTGGGGGGAGCAGGTGTTGATAAAGTCAACTCCCAGGAACAGGGCAGGGAGCTTCATGAATTTTAAGCAGGTAAGGAAGCTCAGGCTTCTTTAAGAAAGACTTTGGACTCAAGGTAGTCAACTTACTGAAAAAAAAAAATTAGAGAAGAGGAGAGAGGAGGAGAGGAAAGGAAAGGAAAGGACAGAGTTGTGCCTTCAAGGTGTTTTCTAGAGGAAGGCTATTCCACAGAAGTGATCCTTCATCTCATTCCAGAGATCAGACACCGGCAGCTCTTAGGATGCCTCTAGCGGTTGCTCTGTGGTTTAAAGTCAAAGTTTTCTCATCTCCCCAGAGAGCTGCAGAAAAGGTGCCTCAGCACTTTTAATCCATCACTTCCCATTAAGTGCATTAGCTGCACCAGCCTACCAGACCCCAGTGTGGGCCAGCACTTGCCAAAGTGGGTTTCCATGGCACTCATGACCCTGAATGCTCAAAGGAGCTCTGTGAACAAAAGGGTTTGTGCCTAGTAAGTTTGACAGATGTTGGATTTAAACAAAGCTAAAGTTATTAAAGGTTTTCAGATGCCAGTGTAGCCTGTGAAAGTGTAAGGACCAGGCCCAAAACGGAATATTTCCCGAACATTCTCCATTAGGGTATCCTAATCTTTTAACTTCATTAAGCATCTTATAGATAAGTATGTGGTTGAACACGTTTTGGGAAATATGCACACAAAGAAAAGGTCAGCTAGATTGTGTGAGAAGCCCGTGTTTTACGTATAGCTCACATATTAAACTTTACAAAAATGTATTGTACTCTGTGTCATTATTCCTCACAAGAACAACAGTGACAAAAGTCTCCTGTTCCTAAGCCCACAGGGATATGCCCTATCCTATGCATATTTACTTATTGTACTGATCAATAATGTCTAATGTTCTTGTTGGTTACAATCTTCATTCCATTATTCAAAAATAAAAATTAGTCACATTCTCAATCATCCCTCAGTTTCTCTTATTTGTATGTGGTGACAGTCCTTGGATGAAATTCCTTAATAGTGTCTCTCAAAAGACAGCATCTACCTATACACAGCAGCCCCCCCCCCCATTGCCATGTTTGGGGACTCTAATTTGCATTAAGTGGAAAAGTAAATGCTAATGTTTAATTAATCCTAAAGCTTGAATTTCACCCCAACCTCTGCAGAGTTCTGTTCCCCTGAAACGCCTGTTTGCTTTTCTGTACACCACAAGCTCTGGTTAAATAAACATTAAACAAATGGGATCAGTTACTGTGTTGTGTATAATTTGAGGTCATTCCCAGCTACTTTATGGTTTATCTGTGGACTTGTGGGTATTATGTGCATTTTTTTTTAAGTTCACCTAAGGGCATTTCCCTCAGTGGGTAGAAATTCATAGTTCCTGGAAGGAATGACTATTTCTAGCAGCCCCTCAAAAACAAAATATTTTCCGGAAAGTGAAATAATAAAACGTACTGCATGCCTGATACTGCTGAGGTCACTTAAACTGTCCATAAATAACCCAAGAGAGGGATCACTGAAGTTACCTGGTTTTGAGAATTTCTTATCCACCTCCCTTTCCAAAGACTCATTTCCAATGCACAGATCCTTCCAGAAAACTCCATTTCCCCTTCACCCCCACTGGGAACATAAGCGAGTACCATTTTGCTAGGTACCAAGCCTCCTTACCTCGCCATAGTTCTCATGTATTTTCATTTAACTACCATCCGCGGCTAACGCCACCTTTCTCCCAACTTTACCTTTGAGAGGACGAAAAGGATGGTCTTTCTGAACAGATGGGCTTTTCAGGGAGAAGCAGTTACATTTAAATACAGATAAATGTACTGTAAATAATGGTCTTAAAAGAATTTGGGTCTTTAGAGAGGAAAATATGAGAGCATGAGATACTATTCTTTAATTACATGAGATTTTTTTTCCCTCCCTTGAAGACAAAACCAATTCCTAATGAAGCATAATGAATCGTAAAGAGGCACCCATGCTCATTCCAACAGATGTTTATTGATTGGTGTTGACTGCACACAAACGCAACCCAGGGCTGCCTGCTACTGTTGGTAACTGGTGGGAAGCGACGCTGGCTCCCCCTCTTTATTTTACCTTCCGAGACAAGCTGACAAATTTATTTTGTCACAAGCAGCTGTGTTCTTATTTTTAAAGGGTTGGCTTACAACTAAGAAAGCAAGCGAGGGAACAGCCTTTTGGTGTCCAATGTGTTATCTGGCAAGGACAGATTGTTTTAGGGTGAAATGGAAAAAGATTTTTTAATGAAACTACATTTCAAACGAGCAGCATATGCTTGATTTTCCCTTCTGCTACTCATCCTGCCATTTGTTAATTTTTGTTATTGTTGTTCTCCGGGACTCCTAAATTTCCATACAAGCTGTCTCGTCCGGCACTAACACAGCTTGGGGTGAACTGTCATTTGGGATGCAAAAAAGCTGCAGCTTCTAATGCTGTTCTTTTATTTATTTATTTTCTTTCCAGATTTTCCACATTCGATGAAAGTTTACATGCACCCAGTTGACCAAACAGCCAGGGAAGAAAAGAAGAATAAATTCTCCCTCTATGAGAGTGCTCGGAGCCCCAGAGTCCAAACAATGGGATTTCAAAATGTGTGATCATCGGCAGCCGAGCTGCTGACAATTATGAGGTCAGCACCCAGAAGGGAGGTCTGGAGAAACTCTGAAATGAGGAATTAGGGGGAAATTTCTTTCCCTCTAATACTATAATGCCACATATTAATGTAAATGATTCTCTCCAAATAATTCAGAGGCCCCGCTGAAGAAAATTTAGAAAAATGAATTTCAGTCTTCAGCAATCTGAGTCCTATTTGAAAGTACTTGGTTTTGCAAATTTAAAAAAGAAATTACAGGGAATAGGAAATCTTTGAATAGCAGATGTTTTGATATGTGCAAGATAATTTTCTGAAAAATGTGAACAACCATGGGAGAGAGGAACCCTCTACTACTTTGATAGGATTATCTTAAAATGAGGATTCCATTGTGTTTGGGAATTAAACATACAAGTTTCTATGTCTGCAGGTCCTGGTTCAAGAGGTGACTTTGGTAAAGCAACGTGCAGGGAACTGAGGTTTGGATGGCTTTATAAACTACATTTCGGAGCTCTTTCCTTTAGCAGTTGAAGAATCTAGAGAGACTCACTCCTTCCTGTGTAACATCCTAGAGAGAGGGCTTGGTCAGCTATGGGCTCCACCAAACTTGGGTCCACATGCAGGTTCACCCATTCACTGGTTATATGACCCCAAGTGAGCTATGTCAACTCCTAAAGTTCAGTTTCCTCGACACACTCCCCAGACAACCTTGAGAGGACAAGGCAGAGACAGAATCCCAAAAGAGCAGTCGTGTTGGGCTTGTCCCTGAGACCTGGACTGAGAGAAGAGAGCAATTCACTTAACTAAGCTGTGCCTGCAAACAGCTTGTACAGACAGGTTGGGACCAGTTGCAGGTGCCCATATGAGCATGATTCTGACCATTGCAAGGGTCACTATGCAAATGAAATGTGCTGCCCCAGAGCCTTGTGGATAGTAGTATGATACATTAAATGGCAACAAATACAATCAGAAGTAACACCAATGTCAATTCCTCACTCCATCTCATTTCAAGAGGTTGAATCATAAGGGTTCAACCTCTTGATGGCGAGGCTCCATGCAGAGGTGCCATGCTTTTGCACATCAGCCTTGAAGGGAATGTCATGCCCACTAGTTTGTCATGGTTATAAGACTGCACATGGGATATGTCCTGCCATTATTACGTAAAATATGGGCCATGTAGCAAGGAAGTACTAGTGTCCTAGTAAGGATGGGTACTCAGAACCAAGCTATGATACATGCATAAGAAAAACAGTTTCAGAAGGAGTTGAAGGGTCATTTAAGAGGCTCAATAAACTCCAAATGGGGCCTTGTGAGACTTACAGCCACTTAACCCTGAACATTCAGAATATCACTGTTATCAACTCAACTTAATCTCTTATAAAGAACTAGGGAGAACTGACAAGCTTGGTTCACCAATCACCCCCAGCCTCATTTGCTGGCATGATTGGCTAGGAGGGTATCCATGGTACCCACTGCAGGAAAACATGAATTTCAGTCAGTTTTATAGTCAGGGTGCACCAAGCCTCTGACCTAACCACTAAGGGTGACTTGCTCATTCCTCTTGGAATCCCTGCAACCTCACTCACATGTACCCTTCCCGGTTATAGTAGTCATGTTAGATTTGTTCAACAGTTAATTACTGTAGCTTCTCATCATACATATAATAGTTGTTCAATTAACTTTTGCTGATTGGAGGTATTTGGGCCAAGAACCAGGTCTCATTTTTGTTCCTTTTTGACTGGTTTCTGGTACATAGGAGAAGCTGTGTAACTTATCTTCCTCCAACAAAAATATGGGTATGGTGTTTAAAATGTTCCCTTTTCTCCTAGTACTACTATTAATCAGGACCAGAGCAGCAAAACTTCACAGGGTTAC